TAAAATAATGCATTTATTTTACCTGGCGATCGATACGATGGTCGCATTGAGGCTCGATGGTCGGCACCTCATAGTGTCGATCGTAGAGTACTAGGGACAAGAATCGAGAAAATAATAAGCTTTAACACTATGGAACAAGTATATGGCTTGATATCTGGTTCGAGGCTGGGTGCTGCGCTTTGAAAGTGAACATTTTTAAAATAACTCATTTATTTTATGTGACGATGATAGTATGATACCATCCTACGGTCCGATCGAGGGTCGGCGCCTCGTTATGAACGCACACTTAAACAGGTCCTGATAATTGCTTCATTAGCATTTTTCTCTGACACACAGGTGAGGACCATAGGACATTTGGGCATATATTATTGGGATCAACTAAATTAAGTCTGCTCACTCCCACAGGGTCTCTCCACCTCAGCAGTCCATTTCTTTGTATACTTGTTAGCACAGTTTATCCACAGTGTCCCTGTACTAAATGATGTTTTATGAGATTGCAGAAGTTGATTCTAACTTCCGAGAGGAATTTCATTAACTGTTTGTTCCAGTTTGTTGAGGATGGTGTCTGTGTATTACTGCTATTCTTAATACTTTTGTGACATTGCTATATGCAAATAAAGAAATACTGATTTACATGATCTGCAAATCAAATGAGCTCGCTAATAGTACAGTGCATAACTCCAGAGAACTGAAACATAGTCCCACTCATAATCATTTATCATTTAGCAACGACAGGACTTTTAGCACACCAACTCCTGGGATACAGAAAAATAAGACAGGTAATGACTGATTGCATAAACTAATTTAAAGATTGTCTATTGAAATGGTAAGTCTAAAATTATTACTAATTACGAATTTAAACAAAATTCTATAACATGTATTTTTATGTAGTTAGGTGGTAAGGCTATATGAAAACCCAACTGTCATGTGGTTTTGAAACCAGTTGTCATGTGTACATGTTGGTTTTTAGATCCATCTAAAATTCAATCGCTGTCTCAAATTTTTGTACAGTCAAAATCGTTTACAACGCCAGCGGCTATAACGTACAATCGGATACAACAAACAAAATAGTAGGTCCCATAAAATGACATACAAAAAACGCATTTATATTGCTTATAATGAACAAATCGGTTAGAACAAATTTATTTCTTGGAACACTAGCAATTAAAATATTGGTTACAGCATACAATTTCAAGTACATATCTGTACCTCAGATGATACAACATCCATTTTTTTCAATTATGACATTTTTACACACTGTATAATAAATAAATAATTATAACCAAAGTATGATGTAAATGACAGTAGATACAATGTTCAATATAATATTGTTTCCACATCTTAATAAATAAGTTTAAAAGTGCTAGGCTGTAAAGTTATGAAAATTGACATTGTAGTGTTGTATTTATCTAATTAGTACCACGAGAAGTAAGGATTTATTACGTTATGGTTATAGTACATCCAGGCATGCATCTACACTTGATTACTTGTACTTTAGACATTTAGACCTCCCAAGATGTGTCCATTGTATTACAAAATTTTGTTTATATTACACCATTTGGCCCAAGCCAAGAGTTTCTGAATTTAAATTCAGTTGTGTTTAGCCTTCATAGAAAACATGTCACAGAAACAATTTACTATTGAGGAACAGTTTGTAATAATTTGCCAAGTCAATTCCGGTGATTCCGCGAATTCGATTGCCCGGGAATTTAAAACGTCACACTCATCAATTGCTGAAATGATGAAACGGCGAGAGAAAATTATTATGCAATATAATAAGTTTGAAAAAGGAAAACGCGTTCGGTCATCAAATCACAGTGACATTGATAGTGCTTTGCTCGATTGGTTCAAACAACAACGCGCAAACAATGTACCCGTGAGTGGCTTCGATGCTTCAGGTAAGGGCTGACGCTTTCGCTGTGATTTTGAAGAAGGATTTTAAGTGTAATGGTTCCTGGGTTCAATGTTTCCGAGCTCGCCACAATATTGTCCATGTAAAAATTTCAGGTGAGTCAGCAGTTGTTGACAGATCAATTACAAATGACTAGGTTGAAAATGTGTGGCCTACACTCAGGTCCAGCTATAGCAATGATGAAATTTTTAATGCTGACGAGATAGGGTTATTTTTTAAACTGACACCTAATCAGACGTTAAAGTTTAAAGGGGAGAATTGTTCTGGTGGTAAAATCTCAAAAGAGCGAGTTACAGTTCTTGTTGCAGCCAACATGTCCGGTTCCATAAAAAGGAAGCTTTTGGTAATAGAAAAAAGTAAAATCCCGCGCTGTTTTAAAAACGTGAAAAATCTCCCTATTGATTACGATTTCAATAAAAAAGCCTGGTTGACGTCGGCTATTTTTAAAAAGACTTTAATAAAATGGGACAGTGAACTTTTACAACAAAAGAAACACATAATTTTAATTGTCGACAACTGTCCGTCTCACCCCCCAGTTGACAGGTTAAAACAAATTAAACTCGTTTTTCTGCCTCCAAATTGTATGTCTGTACTGCAACCCATGGACCAAGGAGTTATAAGAAGTCTTAAAGCATGCTTTTGGAAAGAATTGGTATACAAAATCATCAAAGAGAGAGAATAACTATGATACTGAAGTTAGTATTCTTGACACTATACTAATGATATCAAAGGCATGGGAATCTGTGCGGAAAGAAACGATCATCAACTGTATTCGTTTTTCCGGCCTAGCTAACGACTTACAACCATCAGGAATCGCATACAACGATATTGCACAAATGTGTTTGCAGGATGCTGTTTCCCTTCTCAGTTCTGACTGCTCTGCAGATGACTATGTATGAGTGGATGACGAAATAAGTACGAGCGAAGAACTGTCAGATATTGACATTATACATCATGAGTCACCAAACTAGTGACAAACAAAGTACTGATGAGGCTGATGAAGAATTGGAAGATTTCGGCAAAATCCCTACTGTTGCTGAAGCGTATGCTGCTTGTTCCACCATAAGAGCATTTATTCAGACTGCTGAAACTTCCCAGAGTGTGAAAGAATCATTATCGATTGTTTCCACATCAATTGAAAAAATGTTTTTTTCAGAAGTTCAAGGAAGGCGATAAACAAAAATTACAGACTTTTTTCATTAAATATTCAGGTAAAATGTTGTATTTACATATTTTGTAATACATAAATGTATGTATTTTTCTTTGTCTTTTTAAAAATAAATAGTATATGTATACCTACATTTTTATAATACAAAGATTTTGAGAAGCTGTTATATTATGAGTATATTTACTTTATTAACTACTTATACTTATTTCAATACATGTTATTCATATATGTATGTACATATTTAGATTTACGTAAGTACAATAAACACAATATGTTAAATGTTATGTATAAATAATATGCTATTATAGCATACTATAAGTATAGATAAAGTAACACATTTTTGTTTGATAAACCTAGGTACAACGAACTAACTGTTCCTACCAGTGTAATATCATTTATAGCAACTTGGTCATTATAACCAATAGAACTGTTTACAAAGAACACTGGCTACAACATACAAAAACCGCCAGTCTCCTAAAGTTCATTATAAACGATTTTGAGTGCATTAATAATTATAATTCATGAATATAGCAGAAACTTGTAAATTATTACTGTCATTATTAAACATTAAAACTGTCAACTGTTTTAGCTTGAGAAATGATATAAATATGGAGATCATCTGCCAATTCTTTTACTGTACATCTGTTGTGGATCTCAATTTAAATGAAGGTCAAGTCCACCGGCTTAGTACAGGCTATTATTTTAATAGCAGTCTGCAAATTATGTTTTAAAGATGTTCTCATTAATTACGCTTATATCAATTATTGACTGCTTAAAGCAAACCTGTCCAAGACATTAATTAGGTATTACATTGTATCTGTCTAGCCAAGGTTTTTAGTTATTGATATTTATTATTTTAATTAGTTTGCAGGTTATTTTATAAAATAATTACACCAGAATATGTGAAAAATCGTTGATTTCATGTAAATACTCTTATCCAGATATTTGAAGGTTCTAATAGGTATATAACTGGTAGCTGGTCTGAGAAAAATCTGTACAGATTTACAGCTGATTTTGCTTTGTTTTTTTAACAATCTTAAAAAGTAAAAATATCACTTTTTGCCTATAAAACGAATCTTATTCTTATGCATTTTAGAGAAAAATTGTTCAAATAAAAATTGTAGATCTTAAAAAGTTCTTCACTTTTCCACAATTTTCCAAATGTCCACTTTCCATGAAGTTTTGCTCAATTATCTGAAGACTTAGATGCTTTGTAAAAATATGTAAAAGCAGAGCTGATACTTGAATATTTCTGTTCTGTCCAACACATGTATCTAAAAAAATTGTTAAATGTTCTATACTAGATAATCAATTAATGTACATTCCCAGGCAAGTACCAATTTCCCAGCTTCCATGCTGGGAATTCCACTATATTCGCCACTTTCATTCTGCTCTGTAAAGGTCTAATATTATAGGCATATTAGAATATGTCCTTGTAGAGTGTCCAAGATACCAGTTGCAGAGACAGACCAATCACATCATAGGATCAACAAGTAAAAACTTATGAGAAAATTCCATAAAGACATTACTTAATATACCTAACAAAATTTAATATTTTTATGTAAATTATCTTATGTATATATGTCGCTAACAACCCCAGAGGTTAATGCGACAATGTTTGTAAAATAAACAAAAACTTGAATAAAACTGACAAAACCTATGCAATGTACTCAGACAAATATGTAATTAATTTTTTACAGGATTGGTCAAGTCGCTCTGCATAAGTCAATTGGTAGATTCATTCGCATTCAAGTGAAATACATTAGGTCACTTAGTTTCCTGAATCATATATAGTTTTTGAGACTTAGTGAGATGGTCATCTTACTAAGATGTAATGACAAAATATCGATTTTTTACTTAGTGTCTTAATTATTGGTACTCGTATATTAGAATATTGTAGCCAAGAACTAACCTGATTACCTGTTGGATTGTCTACTAGCTGATAGTTTGCACAAACAAATATATTTTGGTTTGGCTTATGAGGACACCATTCGACGGAATCAGCACTGTACTCGGTATCAAAGGTATAAAGTGTATTAATGTTATACGGTTCCATAGTTTAATAATATTCCTTAGGTATGTTCAATATCAATATTAATTTAACTACCTCTTTAATAAGAAACAAGACTACTTTTGGAGGTTATACCGAACTTCTTCTTCTTTCATTCATTTGCTTGGCCTTAGCTGCCAGGGCTATCCGGCCAGGATCTGTGTAAATACCATCGAGCAAAAAGTCTTTTTGCTCGATGGTAAATACACAGTACAAATATACTGAATGTTCAAGAGCCGTACCTAAAGTCCTCTTTACATTTACGAGTACTCGGATCCGAGTAGCTCGGATTTGAGTTACGAGTGGAACTGCGATCGTTTACATTAAATCCGAGCGATCAGAGTAGTTTCAAAGAGAATTTAAAAATGGCACCATCAAGAAAGAAACGAGCTGCTGTTGCATTAGTGTTATTAAACATTTTAAAGGAGAAAAATATCGACAAAAAATTAAGACAAAGAAAAGCATTTGGGTGAAACAACATTTACAAGAGGTTTGTTAAAGTTAATGATTACCTAATTTAAAGCATTATTTCCTTTGATAATGTCCCGATACTCCTTTAGTTTCACATTCCATAAACATTCGAAAGAACGATAAAGATCGATAAATTGGTCTATTTGATCTGCAGAAAATCTTAGTTCCGCCATTTTTAATTTGGAATTTTCACCACTTTGATCACCGAACAACGGTTGTTCGGTGCTTTGACGCTCACTCGTACTGCTACTCGGTTTGCGTTCAACCACGTTCAACTTCAATCCGAGTGACAAGAGACTCCGAGTAGACGTTTATACTTCCGAGTTGCACTCCGAGTAGAGTAGGTCGATTCAGACACATCAGTCACGTCTCGTCACAGTGATTGATTGCGCCGAACCGAACAATCCGTCATACAAAATATTCTTTAATACAAATATGCCGGCATTCACACTCATCAGTTGACAAACAGTTTCCCAGCTGTCAGATAGTTGATAGTTCTGTGACCAAATAGGACCGGTTCGGCGCCGAGACTATGACGGGACGGGACTGATGTGTCTGAATCGACCTTTCTCGGATCCGAGTACTCGTAAATGTAAAGTGGACTTAAGTTTAATGACACACACACCGCAATTATTTGTTATTTTTATTTTCATTTCATTATAATAATATTATCCTTTTGGTATATGACATTTATTCCCATATACTTAAAATATTGTTAGTTATTCACTAAAAACATAAACTAACTTACAAACAAAACAGTTTATGAACAAAATCGATATCTATTTACCGTTTATTAAATATTTTGTAAATAACCTCGGATTCTTAAAATGTCTAAATGTGAAACAATACCATCATTAACAGTAGATATCGCTAAAGATATTTTGAACAAAACTCTAGAAGAATTGCAAGTTCCAGAAAATGTACAAAAATTGGAGGAGGCTAGAGACAATGTTGGCAATGAAATGTTAAAAATGATGCAGTTCTTATTTCCCATTGTAATGCAGATTCAGATGGAAATAATAAAACAGTTTGGCTATCCAGATGGAAGAGAAGGTATAATCAAATTTTCTCAAATGTTGAGGGCTCTAGAACGAGAAGATTCAGAAATAGCCAGGTTAAATGGTTTAGTTAAGTCATATTATCTTCCTCCAGTGACTGTTCACACAACCAATGAATCACCAGCTGAAGAAAGAGTTAGCAGTAGTTAGATAGGGTATAGACAATTTTATTTATACAATTTTATATATTATTAAACAATTATATTTGGCAGTATGTAATAACAATAGAAAATTCCATACTTTTCTGTTTATGCACCTTACCTTTGATAACTATTATGTGCATTCATTGCTATTATGTACTACCTTAAAAAAGACAGTAATTAAAAGTTTGTATCTATTTTTAAACTCTACTTTGTTTCGTTTGTTTGTACTTTGTCTGCACTGTTTTAGAATCCACGGACCTTACCTAATATATTGAAAGATGTAAAATTAACATTTACATTAATCTTCTAGAGAAGGTACAATTGTCATTAATCTTAAAGATATTCTTTGTATTATATTTTTATCAAGATTAGTAATGATACCCAATTCTAAATTATTGTAGGTAATTTTGGTCAAATTTACCTGTAGGGCAAAACATTTCCATAGAAAAAGTCTTATATGGATTTATTGATGTTGCAAAGTTATTGTCGGAATAATCATTTTGTGTAATATATGTGTGTGTGTGTGTTGAGTAAAGGCCCTATTACCAATACCACACCAATATAAAAATTTTTTTTTTTATTTAATGGAACAATTTCTAAGCACACATATATAAAAACCTGCTACTCTGACGAAGATGAAAATTTCTCTTTTTTATTTAATTTATATCTATTTCTTATATCTAATAAGCAAACATGTCATTATATAGGTCGTGACAAACTATCAGTTTTGAAGAATAAACATTCTAAGATATATTGGGCCCAATTGAACTAAAAATATTTTGAGTTGTGCTAGTTTTGTGGAACAATGCAGCAAAGGGATAACAGAGCTGCAAAAGTAAAGTCTTGGTTGTGTAGGAATCATGGATGCAATAAGATTGTATTAAACTGCAAACATAGAGGTAATGCTAGATCTTCTCCCTCTACGTATATACATATAGTATGATCACTCTATAAAGTGCCTTTATGCTAACACCCGCTCAGCTTCTAAAATCCAGCGACCTCATTAGACATCTAGGAATTTTAATGGTTGGAACAATATGTTGGTTGGATCCTGTTTTGCAGACATATCTGCAAAAGAAGATTTCGAACTGCTATTTTAAATCATCATAAACAAGTGTGAGTTAACACAAAAATAAATCGCTAAAATCACAAGATGCCTGCAAGTATTATACAGAGTTGGGTGAAGGAATAGGGGTTACTGATCAAACACTGGACAGTCAATAGCTCCTGAAAGTACTGCTACAAGCAGAATTGTTAGTTTAATAATATCTTTTTGTACTCAAGCATGCTCGAAAAATGCCACAATTTGACCAAAACATTACTTTAATTTTAATGTTTTTTTTTTTAACAAAAATAGCCATTATTGGGGATGATATGCTGAATTCTTCCTATTGGGTAATTAACATCTGTAGTTGAACATCTGAACCATTTTAACATATGCTTACTCATTTTTTCATCAATTGGTGCATGCCATGCCTAGATTTGCCTTATATACTCATTTTTAATTATATCCTTTTTTCTCACTCCACTTATCTTGCAAAAAAATAATGTGGGCACTAATGGGTTAAAACAAAGTTATCATCTTATTTGTAGTAACTAGATCTTTAAATAAACATTCTAAATACTATGTTTTTGTTCTACTAAATTTTAAACCTTTTTAATCAAGAGCTTGTCTCCAGTTTTTCTTATCAAATAGCTTTTCTTATCAAGAGCTTATCTCTACTTGTCTCCACCAAGCACCAAATAATGTTACCATGTCCTGTTATCTGATTCAACACTAATGAGAATATCTAAATAAGGACTAAGTACTAAGACCTGATGCAATGCTACTTATACATGAAATTTATCAATCACTCCCATATAACTGTCCTAACATAAGTTATTACTCCCTCATAATACATGTTTCTCACAATCTTCTCACTATGAGAGTTTGTTTATTTATTTCTGTATTTTTCCATCAGCTGCCATATAATGAAAATTACATCCGTTGCTGATCTGCCTTGCATACAACTAAACTGATTACTGGATATTTCGATTTCGTCATGTATCCCTATATCTTCCTTGTTTTTGTAAACAGATACCTATTAATAAACTTACTGCATCTTCATTCGTCTAGCATTTGTCCCACTTCCATAATTATATTAAACTTAAATCGGAATAATATCTGGTCCATCTGATTCACCTTTCTTTAGTTTTTGATGTGCTTGAACAACTTCCTCGTTTGTTATTTTAGTGACCATTGCTATACATGTAGATTCCGCTATAATAATCATGCTGACACTACGAATCGTATTTTTAAATATTGGATGGCGTATGTTTTCATCGCAAAAAATATATCTATATTTCCAGTTTCTAGGAAAAATTAAGAAGGAACCAGATATTGTGTTTATGATCAAACGCATAAAATTGCAATATTTGGGACACGTTATGAGAAATCAGCACCGTTACTCCCTGCTACAGTCTATATTGCAAGGTAAAGTCAAAGGTAAGCGGGGACCCGGTAGAAGGAGAATATCATGGCTGCGGAATTTAAGAACATGGTTTAAGAAAACCTCAACGGAGCTGTTTCGAGCCGCAGCGAGCAAGGTTATGATTGCCAATATGATTTCCAACATCCGAAACGGGTAGGAACCAGAAGAAGAAGAATAGTTACTACTCAGAAAATCAACTTATAATATCAACTGCAAATAATAACTTCATTATAACTGTTACAAATAAGAATGAAACCAGCATAGTGTTTTCATTAACAACGAACAACCAATTCCTCATAGTCATCATCATACCAATCATCTACACCCCATTTAACATCTGCTGGAAAAAGTAGATTTGCTGTTGATATTTTTTGGTCACACGCATTGTGTGTCACCTTTATTAGTATGTATGCTTATTTTTCATTAAACTCATCCAGTTTAATTGTTTGTGGTTTTTATTTATAATAAATTAAATTCCTAATAAAATTCAAAACAAATTTATACAGCTCGCTAACCTACAATCTCTTCAAGTCTAAACAAAGCAAAGCAAACCCTCTTTACAAAACTGGAGAATACGACGTATCTCGGTACATTATCATTCCTAATGAGAAACATTGTTCAAAATCATCCTCCAAATCAACTAAGTATATCTGAATAGAACAACTAAGTAGAACATTAGCTACTGAACTGAACTGATTTTCAAAGCCAATTAAAAAGAGTGTATTTTCTCCGAGCCGTTATAAAAACCAGTCTGCGTTCCTGTTCATTCGAAGCAATTCAGGTCAACATCCATGGGCTTCGAGAGATTCCATGCTAACGGCTGTTTTGGTATGTATATAACAGAACTTTTATTGTGTGACTGAATTCCCTTGCCTCGTTAGCCGCTATCTTGAATTTGAATGAGAACCGTTTTGCTCCGCTAAATATGTCCGCTATATTTTAAACTTTTCGACAAAAATAATACGAACTGAAATTTGTCGAGTTAAGGGGGCAAATAGTAAATTATTAGTAACTAACACTATACTAGGCCACCGAATAAACTCTGAGCTTCCAATCGTTTCGCCAGTGGGAAGAGTTCTGTGACTTGAGGCGAACATACGTATTTCACGAAAGCGATTGTCACTTGTTATTAGCAATCTGTTATTGCCTTTTTGCTGCCATGTTTTTTTCCATCAAATCAATGTAGGTTTTAGATCACATGTTTCGCCACAAAACCTACCCATAGAGCTCTTTTTACTTTACCAGTGATTTATGCGAGATGCACATTCCACTTAAGTTTAACTTCGAGATATCTCAAATCACGAAATCATTTTCTTTTAAGCTTTGTTAAAAGATCGTCACACACTCTCGATCATAATATTCATTTTTGTGGATAACCATTTACTGTTGTAGTGGTTGACTGATATCCAAGGTAGGTAATTATATTGCCAGTAGTTAGCATGGGCACAGAATAAGAAACAATGGGATTAATTCATTTAATGATAGGTATTGGTAACCTTTTCCTGCTGCGATAGCATTAATATATGCTACAAATACAGTATAAATCTGATATTTGCCATACGTAGTACATACAAAATGCAAGACTTCGTTCAAGCTGGAACTGTTTTAATTTGAACATAAATTTTATATGGGTAGTTAGGCCATTATAAAATTTCTAGTTCTAGTTTGCTTTTCACTAGTTCAATTTTTTAGTTGTATATAGTTGTAGTTCAATTTTTTGTCTTATTCCATTTGTTTCCTATCCTATCTTTTGTCTGTTTCTTGATGTCTTACTTGGAGAAAGCGCTCCTAAGATTTCTCTTTATCCTTAGTCCTTACACGTAGTACGGATAATCTTAAGAGCGTAGGCGCAAAATTTCGGACCAATGCTTTTTAAATGCATCCATTTTTATCGAATCCTGAGAAAACTAACAAATATTTTTGAAAAATTTAAACGCAGAATGAAAGATTATACTATCGCCGAGGGCCGAAAGTCCCTTAGAATAAACAAAAAGTTTTTTTGAATGAGATATTTGAAATTAAAAATCACACTAAATTTTCTCTTCTTTTTTTCACCCCTGTAACTTATTAAAATAAACATTATAGAAGTTTTCCGGGACTTTCGGCCTTCGGTAATAATGTATTCTTTCATTCTACGTTTAAATTTTTCAAAAATATTAGTATTTGAAAAGAATGCATTTAAAAAGCATTAGCCCGAAATTTTGCGCCTACGTGTACCTTCTGAACCCTGCTTTATAATATTCTTAGTCCGACTCTGCAGACCGTGCGAGTGGTTATGGCCTTCGGTCTAATAGGCAAAACATTAGCAACTTGTCATTGTCTAAATTTTTAACCAAAAACATAGCGAGAGCATCAAGAAGAGTTTTTATGCATGGTGTGGTTTGATTGAACTGCTGTGCTGTGAAAATAGCACCAAAAAGAAGAAAATATGATGGAGCAAAAACATTGGACGATTTTAACTTACTTTAGTTTGAATTAAATAGTTTTTAAATTTCAATTATACTGACGTAGGAGAGGAGTTCTGTAGGTAAAGTAAAATATCTATTCTTATTGTTTTTAAGTTTGATATTTTAGGGCAGCTACATTTAGTATTAAAAATCTGGTTAACTTATTCAATAACATTTAAATTGCCAGTTAATATAAAATACTTAAGAAAAAATGGAAACTATTGATATCCAAGCCATGGAATCTAAACTTAGCGACGTTACTGTAACAGCTATACCAATGAACTCTAACTCAAAACAACCCAATAACCAGCAATCACAGCCTGCCGTTAAACAGGAGCCAGGACAGTCAAAATATGCTCAACTTTTGGGAGTAATAGAAGAAATGGGCCGAGAGGTCAGACCAACATACGCAGGAAGTAGAAGTTCAGCTGAGAGATTGAAAAGGAACATTGTATCTGCAAGGATATTAGTAAGAGAATGTCTGATAGAAACTGAGAAAAGTGCTAGACAATAGATTTAACCATGGTGTCTCATAAATTTGACATAAACCCGTCCGAAGTGTGTAAGAGAAGTCTATCAATTTTTCCATTGAATATGTTTTATCTGTAAAGTTGTGTGGATAAAGATGTTATGTTGATCTAATAATTTTTCAACATATCAACATCAACTGTTGCCATACCACTGCAGGTCATCTATCTTTTCACTTTTGGTTCTCACATAATATATTTAAATATATATAAATATAATGTTGCTAAAAATATTTCTCCAAAGTTATAACTGAATTGAAGTTCTGTTACAACTATAATTAAAATAAAAAATATTGTTTTTTACAATAATAAAAATAATTGAAGCTAAAAAATAACTTAAATTACTTACTAAGATGAAGACAACAATAAAGAGAATAGAAACATGGGGCATCTCGCAATTGCGGGCACTCTAACCTAACCAAGCATTTGTCAGCGGGCACTCTAACCTAACCAAGTTCGTGTCAGAGTTGCCAAGTCTCCAGTTTTTTCATACTCTCACATAATATACAAATGTTGATTAAAGTGATATATAAAAAATTAATAGTATAGATTTTAGTTAAATTAAAGATAATAATCAAATGCATATACAATAAAATTGATTAAAATTATATAAAAAATTAATAGTAATAATTAAATTACCGTATATAATAGAAATGCATTGAAATTATATAAAAATTCAAAGATTTTAGTTAAATTAAAAATAATAATCAAATGCATATACAATACAACTGATTAAAATAATATAAAAAATTTATTTAATATATTTAAATCTTGTAGCTTCTCATAACACAAATTATAATTTCGTAAAAGTAACTTATATTTTAAACCTTCATATACATTTTACAAAAAAAATACAGCAAGTTTTATGCTTATTTAAAATTTGTAGCTTCTCATAACACAAATTATTATTTCGTAAAAATAAATTTATATTTGTAGCATTCATATATAAATACATATTTTACTAAAATAAATACGGCAACACTGTGACGCAGTGCCTTGAGGAAAATATATTTGGTTAGGTTAGAGTGCCTGCAATTGCGAAATGCCCGAAACATGAACTTCAGAGATAACCACTCTCATAATAAGAGAATAATATCAACTAAAAGTTTTCACTAAAAAAATAGGACTAAATATATGAGTCATTACTATGAATAGAAATGGACAAAAAATTATGCACACCAGAAATTGTAAAACAGGGTCAACAGAATAGAATACAGCTTATATATATTCTTTTGGGTATTTTTGACATTCTTTTTTAAATTAATAATGTAAATTTTTCTGTTTTAGTAGCTTTATTAATTTATGAGCCATGCCTCTAGTCCACTCAGAGTGAAAATAATATTTCATAGGTCTACTTTTAAACCTAGACTTAAATCTAGTAGTAAAAAGAAACTGTAAATATTACAGTGTGATGATAGATAAAACATATTCATACATAAAACTCTTTTTCTAGTGAACAATAGTCATTTTTGATCAATAGTGGAAGTTGAGAGTTTCATGTTTATTTGTTGATTAATTGATACATTTTTGACTTTATTCCTATATCACCTACAGGTATATGCGTTAATATTGTGATATTTCCAAATATAATATTCAATCAGGTATACAAATAGTACAAATAAACTGAATATAAGAAATAGCTGTATATTTTATGGAAGTATAAGAATGTCTATATTTGTATGTGTTTTCACATGATCATCCACTCCAAGCAAAATGTACTTAGCCTGGATTACCAAGTTTATCTAATTTGATTACTTAAATCATTTTTTGTAAATAAAATGAAATCAAAATGTCAAAACAATGTTTATAATTTATCACTATTCACTGATGTTGATATTATTAAAATGCAATATATAACCCCCTCTGGCTCAGTGGTAAGAGTGCCTACCTTTAAACCTAAAGGTCGTGAGTTCGAATCTCATCTGGGTGGAGAAATTTTCGTTTATTAAAAATTAATAAATGAAAATAATTTCTATCCTTGTGCAATCAGTACTCGCCGGAGGGACCTCAGATGTTCGGATACAATTAGCGTCTCTTAGCAAAGACAATGACGTCGACTTTGCTAAGTATCAAGACAATTACTCTACACACACACACTACACTAGGTACCTGACTGTACCATGCCAATGATCATAGTTGTCGAGGCATTAACTCAATAATAAAAAAATGCAAAATAGATTAGAGAAAATGTATATGAAGATATTTCTCTCTGAGAAATATTTGGTATTACTGCCATTTACTATTTTCATTGGGAATAAGCCACAATTTTACTTAGCAATAAGTTTATTTTTGACATTTCTATTTCTACTTCAGAATTTGTTAAGATGACATAAGAAAATAGCTCTAAAACAATATCTGATGTTACTGATAATAAATTGTTATATCACATGAAAAATCTGTCAAACTGAAAAAAATGTCTGAAGTGTGAATTTTCTGTGTAGCAGCAAAAGCTTCTGGTATTGTAAGAAATAGCAATGATTATTTGGGGTTATCAAGAATTTGCTTCTAAACTGGTGTTTTATAATATTAATAGTAATAGAGTACTTCAATTGACATCTGTATTTTTTGTTGATGATTATTTACAATCTGTATTTTATAAATTTGAATTATGAAAGAAAGGTCTTAAATTGTCCTGTGACAATTTCCTGTATATCCATAACACTGATATAACATTACGTGGGGATCAATTGGGCTAGAATCTAGTCACTGAGTCAAATGAAGTATTTTGCTTTAGCTCATGTTCTCACCAAGTTCTGAACAGAATTCTTGGGGTTGTCAAATTTCTGGACATATTTTTAGGTGCAAAATGTTTGGTAAAAGCAGTGGCTCAATCAGTCCTTATTACTTTTAGCCCAAGTACCATATTCAGTATTGAATAGAGTATTCTAGAGAATAGCTTATTCTTTTTGTTAAATTTCCTAAAATGCTGTATTGCTTCTCTGGGTTGTGGAGATAATAATTGTAGTGTTGACTAATAAAGTTATATTGCTTGAGTATTTCATCAAAATATTTTGCTTTATAAGTCCTTATTTTGTTTCTCAAAAATTTGATAGTTTTCAAATAATAACATTATCTGACAACTTGTTTAAATTTTTCACAAGTGAGATAAATATCCATTAGCATCCTACAATACACTTTGTATATATCAAGTAAAAAGTTGCAAATGTAAGATTGGCATAATTCAAATGTGAACATTCTTTGGTTGTGGTGGAATTTTTACTGAAATTAATTACAATAATAAGGCTTATCTTGGCCGGTGGTGTTCAAACTTAAATTCTTAAGTGACATTTTTGAAATATAACACACTCATTCTAAAAAGCACAGATTTTATTAAATAGGTAAAAATATGAAACAAGAGGTATTCACTTTAAAATTCAAAATAATAAAGTACAAAAAGTGTCGACACCGCAACTGTCAAATAAGTGTTACCAATTTATGCCAAAATTTCACCTTCATTCGATTACAGTTACAGTGTGTTCCGAACAAATGTTCTTCATAAAAACGCTTTATAATAATGCATTTATACAAATTAAATGAAACATATTATTGTGTATTTCTTTAACATTAATAGAAATCTTTAAATATAATTTCTATGCATATATAATAAAATATGTCTAGTGGCTGTAATGCCAGTGTACTCGGCAAAGTGATTCTAAAAAATAGCACACCTACTGCCTAAATATTTCATGTTGGTATCATGTGACGTCACGGGCTATGACGTGCATCGGTAGGTAAATTAGATGAAGTATATATTTAATTTAATTAATAAAATTAACTTTTTGCCAAATGTGCACTAATTTTGGTGGAGTGGATGCAGTTCTTTTTAATTGCCATGAATATGTCCTTAACCTTCAAAACTTGTAAAGGTATTGACTGTGGAGTTGCAAAAAACCATATATTAACTTTTCTGTCTTTAAATATTTTTTGCAAATCTTGTTAAAAAGTATAGACTAAAGGTATTAAATTCATTGTCCAGAATTTAATTTAATAAAAGTACTGGTAAATCTGGATATAGAAATCAATTTACCTACAATAATCACTTATATCTACACATTTAATAATAAATTAGAATTACATATATATACCGTATTGACAAAATCCTGAATTATCAATGTAGAATTGAATAATTTTTTATTTATGCTGTATGTGTGATTTTGTTAATTTGATGAGTCTTAGTTTCTTGCAATCCACTTCAAGTGTGTTCTACCTTTGATACTTTATAGTTAGGTATTATTATTAAAATAAAAGTGTGTTTTCATAACCCTTTTGTATTTTTCTTACCCATGATTATGGCCGCCTAATCGATCGTTCTAGGATTCGAATCTCCTGCTTGAACCGAGATTTTATAGAACTTATTGCATATGAATGCAATAAATGCTTATACTATATATATATATATATATATATATATATATATATATATATATATATATATATATATATATATATGTTAAGTAATGTTAATAATGTAAGGAGCTAAAGGCCCAATATGTGAAACTTGGCGACCTGACTGGGCAAAGATGTCTGAAATGGAAAAAGAAACTTGGTACAGTATACTTTTGAAATTTTCATAGAAAAAATTATATATACATAAAATTAAAGAAAGATTAACCTTCCTACTCTCCCGAAGTAAATGTTACATTCTTTGTCTATGGGTACGGGTGGACCCAGTGGATAAAACTCATACCTGTTGTGAATTAAATTCCAATTATTTTTATTAATTCGTAGAAGCTTTTGTAGTTTCATGTTATCGATGTATCAAAACTAAAAAATTTTTTTTTGTAATAAAAAATATAATAAAACTTTATATTCAATTAAAATTATATATCTATTCAATGCAACTTTTACAAAAGATATTTGAATGATCACGACAAATGCTTGACATCTTGTACGAGATTTTCTGTCTTTTTCCCATCCGCAGTATTTACACCTTCGACGTTTTGGACTTTCATTTGCATTTCCACTTGTTCCAGCTACTTCAGGTAAATTTATTTGGATTTTTTGTAGAACGTTTGTTTTCATTGGGGTAGTTCGGCATTTTTCTGTTAAATTATATGCCAATTCTTTTACAAAAGCCTTTTATGTAGTTTGTTCCTATTATATTGAGGATTTACATGCATATGTAACACATATGCGTTAATTACCGCAAAATCTAAAATATTATAAAATAAGCAAAGTAGCCACCTTCTAGTTCCTCTTTTGAAGGTATAAGCTGACGCTAATTTATATGTATCTACACCTCCTTTGGTTCTATTGTATTCTAAAATAATGTCTGGTTTCTTATGTCCTTGCAATGACACCTGGTCATCTAAATGCATCGAGTACGAAAGAATAACAGATTTACCCTTTTTAGGACTATATGAAACTAAAGTCATATTCTCCTGAAACCCAAAAATTGATGATAGGACTTCTTTACTTTTGGTAGAAATTCAACTAGAATAAAAGTTTTGTTCTTTCGTAATCTTCCAATTAGTGTTAGTTTACGTTTTAATAATTCAGTCGCTAAATGGTAGTCAGTAAAAAAATTATCTGTTGTTATGTTTTATAAGTCGTAAACCACATTTCTGCCCAGATGTACGT